GCTCGTCCGGGAAAAACTTTTCTCGCGCCGTGACTCCTAAGGACATCGTCTAGACTACGTCCTGGAAGCCCACCAAACTGCAACCGGGTCGACTCGTGTACTAGGTGACCTGGATAAGCAACGGCTACGCTTTTGGTCGACAGTGACACGTTTCGTCGGTTTCTTCGTGGCGTAATTCGACAAGGTTTTTTCAAAGAACCAGTTTTTCCGGAAATTAAAGGGCGCTTGCGCAAGAATGAGATTGTATGAACACGATATGATTTCTACCCGACAAGCGCGGATAACTTCAAAGGAAATTTCCGAGAATCCCAAAACAAAATGAATTCGGCGAAATATAATCTCGAGCGTCTTACGGTAGCCGCAATTTATGTCGGTAAAAAAACTTGATTATTTACCGCGCACACGCATGATGCTATTTTCGTATTAAAAGAGCTTAAGCCGCATTTAATGTTGAATTCGCGGCTGAAGTTGCGCAATGCACTGGCGCAATTTAGAGCCACAGTTTCGAGCGACTTACGCGCAAGTCATAACGATCCGGGGTTTCGTTACTGAGCTTTATGGCGTAATTTCCTCATGTAACTCGAACACGGCACGCCGGTGGCAAATTAGTTTATGGCCTGCAGGCGTGCAGGATTATCGCATAAAGTCCAGATATTATCGGCTGACGTAAATATTGACGATTGCAGCCGCCGAAGATACGCAGAAAATATTCGCGGCAACAAAAAAAAAAATTACTTAGAAAGACAGACTCAGCAAGAGATCAACGTGACCATTGCGCGATATCTTTGCGTAAAAATGAAAATCCATACCAGTGTAATTCCGAAACGAAATTGTGTGACTCGACTGAGAGAAATATAATTCTTCGCTTTCGAGAAATGTCGACGGTTGCAAACGCCACGTAAAATGTCAGCAAAGTACCAAGAGAAAATATTCTTGTTCTGAATATTTTTCACAATGCTAATATTATATAAAGTTCCGTTCGGATGACCGATTAACATTTCGCAGCCGGAGAACTTAACCTCCGACACACTTACGGAACTCGGTTCAATTCCGCGAATAACAACCGCGTATAATTGCGCGAGAGGCGCAGTCAATTATTTTTTAATTAAAGACTCGATACGAGAGAAACCAGTTTACGATTAACGCACCTTCTTTTTTTTTTTTTTTTTAATGTTTATGTACCATATCGACAGAACTATATAGGTATAGTAATTTCGTTTGCAATACGCGAAGTTCGATTCGATGATTCACGATTCAATTTCAGCGCGCATCGTATCACGAAAACTCGCACGCTCGCCAGCTGAATTAACGAGAGATGTTGGTAAGAGATATCGGTAAGAATGCGATAATCAAAACGGGAAAAAGGAGGGGAAAAATAGAAGTTAGAAGAACACACAGAGAGTGAGAGCCAGACGTCGCGGCGTCGGCGATATATAGTAATGGTTTTCTAGATATAGATATAAAGAGCTCGCAACTTCCTCTACACCTTGCTGTTCATTCACAAGAAAATAAAACAACAAATCCACAAGAAAATACACAGTTTTTATTTGATTGCTTTCTAGAAGCAATTTGCGACTGACAAATTGTAATTGCAAAGATCCGCGCGTTTGTAAACATTTTGTATTTACTTTAAAACTGTTTTATCGCATAAAAGTATTGTACTACCGCTGCCAGATAGTAAAAAAAAAAAAAACAAAAGCAAGATCAAAACGCTTGGCGCTTTTTGTGAACGTTTCTCAGGTTGTCCCTAAAGGAGGGTTAGAGCGGCTCGTGTTGAGAATATTGAAGGTCGCTTCCGCGAAAACGAGGGGAGAATCCGTTGGGAATGTGGAAATTGGACTTGCGCCTGCATCCCCAGCCCTATTATACCGAGTTGTGATCGCGACAATGTGAATCGCCGATGGCTGATTTACGCTGAATAACTGGATACACGTCTGTCGCCATCTGCTCGCAAAACGAGTATAGAGGGAATGAGGAATGATTCACGCTTCGACCGTAATTTCGACTAGTGCTGTTGAAATATATTAGTCTCCCACAACGTGAAACACGAGTTACTTTGAATTAAAAATACAAAAGTGTCTCTAAATAAAGTCACGTATGAAATAAAATACACGAATAGAGTACACTATACTCAGTAGATTGTGTGACACACCCACACGTACGTAAACAACAACTTTTAACGTTCACGATGACAATTTAACACGGTTTGTGTCTTTTTCTGCCATTTTTCAACTCTCGAGATTAAATAAAATTTGATCCAACGAAAATTCCGTTACCGTAATATCACGTCAGATAACGAGCGATTATCTTTCCGTTTGGTACGAAATCAGATGTGAGGGTAACCGTGCCTCAAATTGTCCACATATTACTAGGTACTATTGTTCTCGGCTTGCACTCTCTGTCTATACGCTATAATCAGAACGATTGGAATCGCGCGACCGTGATATCGGAGGCAGAAGCCGATTGCCGATAGCGCAATATAAGTGGCAGTAAAAAAGCTATTAATTCATCGCGATCGCCATTGTTGTTCGTGCTCGACTCGACGCACAAAGGAACTTCCGAGAGGACTAAGTCCCGTTTACGACGGCGATTGCAAGGGACGACCGCTGAGAGAGAGAGAGAGAGAAAGAGAGAGAGAGAGAGAGAGAGAGAGAGAGAGAGAAAGAGAGAGAAAGAGAGAAAGAAAGAGAGAGAGAGAGAATGTGTGTGTGTGTGTGCGTGTATCAGGGCCGCATTCAAGGATGTCTCGATGACTCTGAGCGGGGTGATTGACTTGATTTCTTTTTGACTGCGCCGACTACGTAAAAAAGCCGCGCAATTCAAACAATCGTTCCAAAGTATTATTCTTAGAAAAACCTGCGACTTAAAAAGTAAATTACAGTAATATAATTAGCTACAGAGAGTAAACTGTTGCTTTTTTTTTTAATGAATTTTGAATGAAGAGAGGAATTTAATTTTCATCATGAAGAATGAAAGCCGACGTGGAAGCCGGAAAGCCGCGACAAAATTATTATTTTGGCTTCTCGCCAAAATTCCTTCCCAAACTTAATCCGCTCCTGGACTTGTGAGTAGTATATTCGAAGCAACGAGCGCTTTGTTCCGCGTTCCCCTATTCGCAAACGCGACGCAGTTGCGGCATAGTAGCCCTCATAATATCGTTCGCGTGATGAGCACGCGACATGTGCGACTTGTTACATGCTTGATTGCCTTATCTCTCTCGTGGGCATACGTGGCACACGCGTGTCGATCAAACGCAAAAAAAAAAAAAAAAACAGCCCGCGATGAGCAATTCTCTTCAGCGTCTCCGCGAAGCTGTTTCACACCTTTTTCTTAAATGATATCCGTAAACGAGACGACGAAAAATAGCTCTTGGTTCGCTTTTCATCTTTACAATATTTGACATTTGAATGTGAAACAGTTTACATAGCATTCGGTGCATGTGTAAAGCGTAAATAAAGTGAAAGAGAAATGACAAGAAAACTCGTGTAAGAGCTCGTCACATGTGTCTTGCGACTTTTTCGTTTTTACCGCGCGACGTCATATACTTTCCTGCACCCATTTAGACGCACACACTGAATATGCGTATTCATTTCTCGGTTTAGTTCCTGAACCCGACTTATGTAACATTTGCATGCGAGATTTCGTTCAAATAAGCCGTAGTATCGCGTTACGTCAAGTCTGCGAGCAACAGCTGCACTTAACACACGATTTATCATTTAATTAGTCCCGTAAAAATACAAATTGTTTATGTTAGATTTTATTTCTAAGTTCTTTTGTAAGAAGACAAAAAAAAACTGCACAAATAAAAATATTGCGAAAGAAAAACCAACACGTTGAATTCAACCTCGATTTACAAAAAAAAAAAAAAATAAATAAACGCAAAAAGAAAGATTCTTTCGTAAATAACGTTATATGTTGATAGTTATAATAATTGTGTTTTTTAAAAGTACATTTAATAAATTACTTCCGGTTTCTCCAAAGGCCCTCGTACGTACACACGTCGAGTCAATAGCGTTACATAACTCGTCGAGAAAAAAAATCATGTGACAAACGTAAATTTCTGAGCTGTTTCCGCAACAATGCAAAATCGCTGGTAAAAACGTCGCAATTCGTCGGCTGCAATTTGTCGTTGCGTTGCTAGCACAGTAATAATTTCACCGTCAAGTATCAAGATATAGTTATTATGAAAGCGAGAGAAAAAGAGAGAAAAAAAGAGAGTTTTTGTATTCTTGATGTTTGATATATACGAATATTTTGATTAGTCCACGTGTGCGACTTGACCTTGTGAAGGCATTGTGTTTTTCTATCGCGTTATAGCGTTCAAATGTCGTAAAAAAGTGACCACCGTGCGTTTCCCCTCGCATTCCGAACACAGTACCAAGCGTTTGAAACATTTTTATGCGACACGCGATGTAAATTAGCGAAGGAAATTAGAAGAGGAAATATTCATCACACCGCGTTCTTGACATTTAAAAGGCGATTGTTTTTTCGAATCTTTTCATCCCGCAGTCGCGTTCCCTTTATGTGGTAAAGTTTAAACGTCTGTGATTATTGTTAGAAAATTTTTTTGTATAAACTGTATTCAGAAATAAACATTTATTTTATTGCAGTCAATTAGATAAATTAAAAGATAGAAAAATTAATAAATATAATTTTGAATATCACGTATACGCGCGGCACAATTAGTAAAATTTCAGAATTTATTCGGTCTTTAATTTAAACTTATCTCTCTTATCCTCCCAAAGCTTCAATTTTAAATTCACATTTTTTGTCATTTATCATTTACAATTACTACTGTTGCCCCAAGAAAAAAACCGTCGTTAAAATCTCGGAATATGTTTACCGAGACAAAAAACCCAACGAATTAATATTAAAAGATATTGATATTTGCTTTGATATAATCAATACGACGCGCGCCTGTGTCTTCGACACGATGATCCCGACTTGATGCATTTGGACGCGAGCGATAACAAGGAAAGTGAAAACTGGCACGTATTTACCTGCAGCCGAAACGACGATGTCGGAGCCGCCGGAACAGCTGATCGACTCGCTCGGTGGGTGTCGGCCTCGCCTAACCTCTCCTCCGGAACACCCTGCTGCTGCAGCTGCACTTTCTCACACACTCGACGCACTCGCGAGATCACGGGCCGAATTTTGATATCGCACGATAGAATCCGAACGCGCGCACAAATGTTTTCGATTCGCTCGTTGATCGCGGATCTCAACTCGCGCGACAATCTCAGAACCAGAGACCTCGATTCGGAAATCTTCAAGATCCGCGATGCGAAATTCTCGAAAGGATGACAGAAGCCTCGCGACAATCCATGATATGAGATTGTTTAATAACGAACATTCGTCGCCATGTAATTGTTTCCTCGTACGGATTATACTCGTAATAACGCCACTGCACATTAGCGAGCAAACTTCTGCTGACGGGAAATTTATTACAATGACGGAACACAAAGCTCTCACACGGCGGGAGATGTACTTAATGTTGCAGTCGCGTCAACATTGATGCAACAAACGATAAAACAAACACGTATGTACGCGCGGCGTCACGACGTGTTTGAGGCAGAAGAATTCGTTGCCTCAATAACGACTACCTGTCAGCGACGCGCGCGTCGCAATCAGCCGGAAAGTCCATTTCAACGATGACGCGCGAGCATTCGTCGCGTGCAGCAGCGTCGTCGTCGACGTATACGAAGTCACGCGTCGTGTAAAGTTCGGATTTGTGATTCGGAGCGGAGCTACTCGAACGACATACTTCACGGCAGGTGTCGGAGCACGGTCGTCCTGGGAATCGAATGCGGAATCCTCGATGCAGCAGTACGCGCGTCTTTATCGCGGTACATAACAGAGTTCGTCATGTTTCGTTCTCGTGTTGTTGTCGCTCACTCGAGTGAGCCGAGACGACGCGCGCGTCGATGTTTGACTTCTCTTCCCGGGTGCACTTCGCGAGAGCCGGGAACCCCGCAGCCCCGTCGATTAACTTCACGGCGAAGTAAGCTGGCCTGGGCCCGTTCTATTTATCCTGCGACGAACGGAGCGCGACGTAGGCGGGGGCGGCCTCCCGAAGCGCCCGGCGAATCGGACCGAGCGAGCACGAAGATGGACACGGGCGCGCGGCGAGCGACGCATCTGCACGCGCGGTAAAGAGAATACTGAAAGAGGTTCTCGCGCGCGACACGGACCACTATATACAAATCCGCGCATGCGCGCGCACCGTTTCGTGTTGTGTTGTGTGTACGTACTTCTCCCGCTTCCGAAAACACTTATGTTGCCTGTACAAATTTTTTGTCGCACACTCAAGTGCGGTATTGTGTGTGCGCATACATTTTGCAAATCTATTGCGTCGAATGCTCGTAGATAACTAATTTACGTTCCACGATTGGAACTTTAGCGATAATATCTGCAATTATACTCGCAACGACCGCTTACCTACCGTTGACGCCATTGAAAAAAGCTTCGGTTGATCGTTATCGGACGCAATAAAAACACAGTGTGTTTATCTCTGCGCGATATTGTTTTTCAGCAACACGTGCGCACGACTTTCTTAAAATTGTTTTCTGAAGCATTCGAGAAATATAATCAGCTCTGATTTCGTCCGAGTCTAAACCTTGCGGAAAGTCGAGTGTATTCGGTGTAACACAATTGCCGCGACTCGACCTACATAATTCAAATTCTCAAGAGAATAACAATTGCTTCTTTTCTATTAATCTTTCTCGATCGAGAGATTAATGAGCAACGCGTGATTCTCGGAAAAAATGATTATTACACATTACGAGATTAATTACGCACGAAAGGCACCTATGAACAAAGGTTAAAGAAATCAGCTCGCAAGTATAGTGAAGTTAGCGCGATATAGACACTCGCATATTTCGAGAATCGCAAGCGTTTCAATCGCAGTGTTGCGGAAATTCCGGAAACCGTCAGCGAGTAAACGACGACACTTTAACCTCACGAACGTAAAAAGTGTGCTCGAAATAGTTCGAAAATGTGTGTCGCAAAATACTACTACGTTGAAATATCTTCTCGCGAAGATTGACGATCTCGGATTCAACATTGGAATATTTTCCTTTGGAGGCGAGAAAGAGAGAGAGAAAGAATACGTCACACCGCGGCAGCAGTGGGTGAGTCATTGTTAGACACTGTTTACTATTTGTTTTTATTTAACTGATAAAAAATTGCGCGTATGTATGTACATACATCTCTATAGATCTATTACTTAATAACAATATATAATATATATATATATATAAATGTTATTAGTACAAAGAAGTGTTTTCCTCGTAACGTGAGAATTATGTCAAAATTCCGTAACTTTTTTGTCGTGCAATCGACTTTCCACTTGAAACGTGTGTATCGTTCACAAAAGCAGTTACTCGTAATTGCACATAATAACTGGTTATTTAGTCTCACAATGTTTCCTAGCGCGCGCGCGGAGACAATACGCCATTTTGATTCACTCATCACAATTGCTTGTTCCTTGATCTTGTTCCGTGTGAAAGACATCAAAATACTTTTATCAAATTTTTAATAATCTGGGATCAAGTGTTTTTTTTTTGTTTTGTTCATACATTGTGTTTTCTCTCGATCTTAGAAAGGATGTAAGTTTTATCAAATAATTGCTTGAAATGACTATACGTTACATTATTGCACGCGATTCCTATTATTATACAAAATTTATTTGTTACTGTGCGATTATTTGAAGTGGAGCAAAGAAATAACTGACATCACACATAAGATTCGTGTACGCAATGTGATATATTATATTAAAATATAAATGCTGAATCTACAACATGTGTTACATGTTCATATCGTTATGTCATATAAATATCTTACATGTGTAAACTTTCGCCGTCGACTGTACATAGCAATCGTTCAAACTCTTATCGTAGCAAAAAACATTTTTCGAAAAACACATTTTCATTTTTTCAAACAGCGCACCTTGCACCTTTTTTAAGAGATATATATTACTACTATTTCTTTGATTCGTACAAGTGATGTTTCTTTTCGAATACCAGATTAAGTATATATTTTTGCAAAAGAGAGCAACTTTTCTGATATACTCATTTCATCAAAATTGCTCTGCAATTTATGCATAAAAAATGATACTTATTCAAGTAATAGTTTTATTAATTGACACTAATAAACAATATTACAATAGTAATGTTTCGTACGTATAAAACATCCGCCGGATCGAAAGAGTGCGAGGAGCGCGCGAACAACTTCGAATATACTATCTACGATTTCGCGCGGAAATATTGCGATCGGCTTTCTCGTCTGAATTCGCTCACTACTGTTCATCTTTGTCCTTCGCACCGTGCTTCAGAATTCGAGTGAACTCCAAGTAATCAAACATGGAGCCTTTGATTGGTGCCTCGCGATACATTTCATCTACATCGTCATCTGTGAATCTAACGATAAAAATTTGTATCTTCACGTATCAATTCTAAGTTTTATATTAATTGATATAAATTATATTTGATTAAAATTAACGTCTTGACAATATGTGAATTTACGATACTCTTGGCGCAATTTTTCATATACTTCATATCAAGTTACCTGTCTCCCATTGTAGTGAGTAGCTCGCGGAGACGCTCTTCGTTTATGTGACCGGTATTTTCCTCATCGAAACAACCGAACGCGTTTTTGATCACATCTTCAGGATCGGTTCCTTGTAATCTTTCTCCAAACAATGTCAGAAACATTGTGAAGTTAATAGGTCCGGGTGCTTCGTTCATCATCGCCTCTAAATACTCATCAGTAGGATTTTTACCTGTAAAATATAATTAATCTTTGTGCTCAGGACCTATTCGCAGTTTACTTTGTTCTTATAACACCAGTATAAAAAAAGTTTCTGCAAGTTTTAAATAAAATTTCAAAACTTTTGTGCTTGTTGTGTAAACACTTACCCAAGGAAGCAAGCATATCGTGCAGATCTTCCTTGTCAATAAATCCGTCATGATTCTGGTCGATCATGTTGAAAGCTTCTTTAAATTCTGCTATTTGCGCCTGGTCGAACATCGCGAAGACGTTCGAAGTGGCACGTTGAGCGCGTTTCTTTGTGGTGGCGCGGCGACCAGCAGTTTTGCGGGAAGACATCTTCGGTTTTTGTTCTTGATGAATTGAGAAACAAATTTTTATTTATAAGTTTGTTTGTTTTATTCTGACATGAAATCTCTGATGTATTTTACAAGCAAAGTTTTTCTTAGACAATTGTATTTCATACACACTTCATATTTCTCTACAAATTTAAATTAGAAAATCTCGTTGTGAAACAAAGAGATTCCTTTTGATTTAAAAATTAACATGGCAACAAGATGGTTCGAGTTGCCAAGTCGCCATCGTCATCAGCGTTTATTTTCGGGTAATCAATTCGCGATATCCCGACGTGAAATTGGAGTAAAAATACTTGGACACAAGGTACAACTGAAGATCGTTACGCTTTTTGTCGCATATATATATTTAAATTTCTTTAGATATTTAAATGGTCTTTCAGTATGTTAAATCATTAACTGTGAATCTGTGAACATTATCAGATATACAATCATATGTGTATTTTAAAGATACACATTATATATTTTTTGTACATTTCTTCAAAACAAAAAAACTTTCAATATTCTTATTTTTTAATCTACGAAAATATGTTTTATTCAAAATAAAAGATAATTTTTGTACAATTATTTTCCGTTTCTACACATTGTATAGTGATGTATTTGTATATTTGCCAATGCAACACGTGCTTACTCATCTCTCTTTTTCTTTCGGATTGTCCCACTTTTCCCTTAAAGTCTCGTTTGCAAATCAGCAATAGAATCAGGTCACTTTGTAACAAAAGATTAATTTATTGTTAAAATATATTTATTGCGACAGTTGCAATAAATACATTCCATATGCAATAAATTAATATTATTTGACAAATTTGTTTTTATCAAAAATAAATTACCGTTACATTAAAAAATATCCTGAACGTTAGCGCCCATGTGGTTCGCTGTCTACGGTACTGCATCTGTTTATGCTTCATACAAGCGTATTTTTCTCCGATTACTACATAACCTCACCACAAATATCCTGTTCAGGATCTCGTTTCACGAGGATCAAATTTTCTAGTAGATTCTTCCGGATCTTTGTCTTTTGAGTCGAGTGCAAACTCAAACTGAGTGCAAACCATAACTGAATGACAATGGCGGCTCTTTCATTTTCAAGAAATTTTGTTGTAAAAGTATCGAAATTCCGCATGCTAGAACTTTGTTCGCGAAAGAAATCCAATTCGTAGGGCGAACCGTTTATTTGTGAATTGAAGAAAAGAGCGTGTGCTTACCTGGCAAAATGCAAATATAAACGAAAAACTCGAGAAAACGACTGCAAACCAGAGCAGTTCGTGATTTCACAGAGACTGTGAGTCACGTTACGCGTCACTCTGTGGTCATTCACCACACCCGGACATCCAGCACCATCTGCTGGAAGACAGAAGAAAGATCTGGAGTTGTGTATGTATAGGTCGCGAATCAAGAAAAATCCGGGCCATTGCTAAAAGTCAGTCAGAATTGTGTCGCTTATTTGTAATCAGGTTATTTGTATGAGCAATATCAGTTTTATTCAGTTATATGAATTAATCACTTTTGAATTTGTTTATTTTATTAGCAAACAGTCAATTAAAATTTATCGGTAGAACACAGAGAGTAAACAGAGATTAAGACTTGGTCATAAAATTTTATCGAAATTGCGTGTATGATATCGCATTTTGGAATATAATTTTAAATCAAAAATTTTCTTATAAAAAGTTTTTTTAATATATATGTTAAAAATTAGCGTCATAAAAACAATTTTAATATAATTATTGAGAATAATGCATAATATGGTTTTTCTTATATATAATATTGCTAAAATATTTATAGTATTTCGTTATACTCTTATACGTAAGAGAAAAATATATTTAGCTTGATTTTTGGGGACTATAATCTGTAAGTACAGTCCTGAACCGAGATTCGCTGCCTTACAAGGTTTAAACGTGTTTTATACCGGACTCACAGCCTTATAAGGATATGAAAGAGGCTAGTATGTGCATACATACACGTGTATACATTTATCTCGTGTAATCTCTCGCGATGGTTTTTCCTTTCTCTTCTTTTTTTATTGTAATGAAAATATATATATGTATCAAGTCACACACACACACACATAATACTTATAATTTCTATTTATTTCTATATATGTTTTGCGTAAATTTTTCAAAAACTTGAAAGACAGAGTGAAAAAAAAAAAAACGTAACAAAGTGTGAAGTACAACAAGAGCACTGATTTCTTTATTCGCACAATCATAAAACTACAACATATCACTTAAAGATTACATGTATAATGTATCTAAATAATCGATAGACCGTATATACAGACTCGTACACATATTCGATCTCGTTTCAAAGACGAGCATTGTCGATAAGTGAATTCTTCCAGACGTCGTTAACATCTCTCACACATTATACTTTTTCTTTTTGGATTATTTACATAAATTGTCGCGGCCTCAACAGCCGCTTAACATAAATAACGCCAACAAAGTCTTCGGTATTTTCTGTACACAAAGTGTCGTCTCAAAAAATCGGCGACGATTTTCCGCGCGCGCGATTCTCGACGAGAGGATGACCGATAGACTTTCGAGAGTTTCGAGCTATCGCACGGACACGCCATTGATAGTGATTCCGTTTCTGTTGGGAACTGGTTCGGCCTCGTAATGTCCCGATCTGTTGTACATTCTTCGCGGATGACCGCCGTATCTGTTGTGCGAAGTAAAAAAAAAAACGTAGATATTTACAAACAATTTGCAAATTGTTTTATATATCTATTACGTACCTGTACGCGCTACCGCTCAAACTATACGGATTGTCGTAGAGACCATCTTCAGGAACGTTCTCGTACATAGTGTTGGGTGTGCCGTCGTTCAATGTCGCGTAGGACATGACGGCAGCGTTCTGATCTTCTTTTCTTTCCGCCGCCTGAACGTTTTCAGTGTTTTTCACAGGCGTAGCTTTTCGTCTATAAATTATTTACGCGCGTTAACGCGTTTTCAAACGTTTTCTAAACACACTTATTTCAAAAGTGTTATACTTACAGTCTAAGATAGACTAGTCCGAGAACAATTAATATAAATATAATAACTCCGGCTCCGATGCCAACGCTCGTGCCGACCCCTTGCGCCTCCGCCACCTCGTTTACTGCCACTGCGATATAGTAATTACACATACTTATACTACTTATAAGAAAAAATTAACTATAAAATATTTTATAACAACTGTTTGATATGTTTAAGAATATCTGAGAGATATCGAAAATTTTATTTACATTCGCATTTGGGCTCTTCTCCGCTCCAAAATCCAGTGTCTAAACACTTCCTCAAAAATATACCCACTCTTTCGTACTGTGGTAAACAATGGTATTCCGCGGCTCCTCCGTAAGTCGTCGAACTGTTCACCACTATCACTCTTCCGTTCTCTATCGGTCCTGGATGCTTGCAATCGACCGCTAGAAAGAAACCCCGAAAAAAATATGAGAATTTTAAATTAATTTTTCTCTCAAAAGCGTTTTATTTCTAGCATACTAATTTATTTATATTTTTATTTCCGATGTGTGTTTGTTCAAAATCGACCAAAATTTCTGTATATCGAGAAATGGCGAAAAATTCAGTTCTCACAGAAACAAGCGGGTGCCGTGCCGCTCCAGGATCCATTTTGCAAACAGATTCTCGTCTCGTTTCCCTCCATGTAAAATCCACGTGGACAACTATAATGCGCCACTCCGCCCACGCTGTGAGTTGATATTTGAGTCGATAGAACGCCGGTTTTTTCCGGATCTTTGCATCGAATTTCTAAAAATATTAAGTTAATTTATCTTATCTCCTTCGAAAGAAAAATATACTTGTCGCAAAAAAACAACGAGCTGCGTAATAATTCCTAACTAATTACCTCGACAGACAGGAGTGTCGCTACTCCAGGTGCCGTTTTCAAGACACAGTCTTCTAGCGAAGCCATCTAGTTCGAAATTGCCATCGCACTCGTAAAGCGCAGCTGCTCCGTAATACGTCGCGTTCGATGTCAACGTGTAACGTCCATGTTGAATGCGCTCAGGTTTACCACAGTCGACGTCTGTTCAAGAAATATTTATTTTATATTATATATCTACGTGTACATCTGATATGACTCGTTCCACGGCTTTTTAATGTTAATTGAAATTGCAGATATATTAACAACATATTATTTTTAACAAAATACACGCGTCAATACATTTATACGTATAACAAGAAGAGACAAATTCTTTTTTTTCAAACTATTGATATTCATTATTTATTTCACATAATTGTATTGGAAAACTGAGACTTTTACGATTATTGATGAATGTAATACTCACAGACGCATTGTGGCACTTCGCCGCTCCACTTTCCATTCTCCTCGCAGGTGGACAGAGGTTCTCCGACCACTTTGTATCCTCTTTCGCATCTGTATTTTACCAAAGCTCCGATTTTGTACGAAGTCGCGCCTGTGTTCGAGTTTTCCGCGGTTCCCGTGCGAATCAACGTTCTTCCGTACATCCGATCGTTTCCGGTGACCGAAAGAATTCCGTGCTCCGCTAATACGGGTTCCGGACATCGTATTTCTAGAAACAAAAATCAATACTTATATCACACAAATTTATAATATATTTACACAATACACAAATGTAAAATATTTATTCATAAAATCTTCACTAAAAAAGAGTTTTACACAATATTTAAGAAATTAAAGTTGCGTATTAAAATCGCGTGAAAACAGAGAGAGAGAGACGTAGAAAAAAATGTTGCAAATCATTTTTATCGATATTTCATAACTTCTCTGAGTCTATTTTACTTGTTCAATGACTTCTCGAAAACCAATTACCTTCGCATTTCGGAGTAGCGTCGCTCCATTGACCGTTATCCAAACAATATCTTCTGGAGACTCCGTTCAACCTATAATTTCTCGTGCAGCTGTACGTGATTTCGCTGCCAAGATGAGTCGTTCCGTTTACGTAGTCCGCAGCTCCGTTTAAAACCGGAAGAACCTTACCGCAGTCGACATCTGCGTTGAAAAAAATATTGAGTTGTAACAAAAAATATGGAAGTATTATATTTGTATAAAGAGATAACAATTATGATCTATTTTCTCAAATGTCTATCTGAATGTTAATAAGCAACTTCTATAAAAAAAAAGATCAAGGAAAGGAAGACCTTCAACTGTAGGTGATCCTAATCGTAAATCGTTCCTCTCATAATTCAACGTGACTTACGTAACTCAACATAGTTTCGACGAGAAAAGATATGAGAGTAAGAAAAAAAAGAAGTGACTCACATTCACAACTCGGCACCTCTCCTGTCCATTCTCCGTCTTTGCCGCACGAATGCTTCGCTTCACCGTGAAGCAAATAACCAACGTCGCAGTGATACTCGATAACACTGTGAACGTTCAAGTCGTATCCCACAACGTAACCTCCGGTGAAGACTTCCGGTTCGTCGCACGTAATCACTAGTGCAAAAAAAAAAAAATAAAAAACGTAGAGATTATTCACAGATATCGCGAATACAAATCAAGTGAAGGAATTGCAAAAAAAATTATTGAAAAAAAAAATAATTATTAAAAATTATTCTCTGTCAAATTATTGTTTGCACCGGTAGAGAAATATATTTCCGTAAGTTACAAAGATAGAAAAAAGTTTAGAAAAAGTAAAGATTTGTAAACCCTACACTCGCACGATGGCGTGTCGTGACTCCATTTGCCCTCTTTGGTGCATTCTTGCTTTCCTTCGCCCATCAACCAGTAATCATCTTGACACGTGTAAACAGCCAAACTGTTCACTGTGGTCGTTCCATTAACCAAAAGAACGTTCCCGAACTCGATCTGAGCTGGGGCTCCGCAATCAACGAATCGACATTGCGGAGCCTTACCGGACCACTCGCCACCGGTCATACACGTGAGAACCTTAATTAATCGAAGAGAGAAAAAAACTCAGAATTAAATTAAAAAAATAAGAATTAATTTTAATTTGATTTTAAATAAAAACTTTTGTATTCACTTTATTTAAGTTCTTCATAATTTAACGAATAAGATGAGCAAGAACTCTTACGTTATCTCCGAACAAGATAAATCCATTTTGGCAAGAGTAAGTGGCGGTAGAACCCGCTCTTCTTCCGGTCGTTGTTACAATGCCACCGTTCACTTCCGGTGGCTCGGGACACCAGTTGACTGAAATTAGTCATGTACATACGTAATTGCGTCAGACGAAATGGCGAGATGAAACAATTTGAATGCGATTTGTTTACTCGAAAATACAATTCATACGATTTTACTCACATAGACACTGAGGCTGGTGGCCGCTCCAGATACCACCGTCTCCGCATCTACGTCTCGTATCGCCTACAAGAGTGTAATTTTCTTTACACGCGTAATCCGCGAGAGCACCGTGCGTGGTTCTGCCTTCCAGTAACGTGATAGCGCCATTCTCCAAATCTGGCAAAGCGCCGCAGTCGACGACTGTGAAAGTATTCAAAGAATAACGAAAACCGTGACACAGCCTGGCTTATGCTTTCACGTTCAGTATTAAACATACAACGAGATTGTGATGCAAATAACATATTATAAAAAACGTGTTTTAAACGTGTCTGCTTTTTGCATAAATTTGTAGAATTATTATATTGTGAAGATTATGTTTTCTCGTGTAACAAAATCAAAATTTAATATCGTTATATAAACATTCACATACATAATTATCGTAAAAATATCTTACTGCATAATTTTTGGTTAATTTAACGCCAACATTTTTGGTAAATTAAATAAAACAAAATTTACAAAATCCGAGACTTATTATATTCAATGCTAATTGCGCGATTGTTAATTGATAATGGCATGTGATCGATTTCAAGAAAGAATTAAAATCGAAAGTCAGATAAAGACGGTCGGTATTTGTAGTGCGATAAATACTATGTTGAATAAATAAGGAAAACAAATAAATAAAAAAGACAAGCGGTGACTCACATATAAGCCATTAAAGTTAAACACTCACACTTGCACGTGGGCACATCGCCGCTCCAAAAACCACTCGATCCACATATTCTGGTCTTCGATCCAACCAGCATGTATCCGTCGGGGCAGACGTATTCTATCGTCGAGCCTATTGTTCGTTTCGATCCTACAATCGTGGTGTTTTCCGATTTCTCAGGACTGCCGCAGGTTGGCGGTCCTGCGAACGAATAAATAAGTTACAAGTTTTTTTTTATGAGTGGAAGTTTTACGAGACTCTCGCAAGTTTCTGGTTTTAACCGAACAGTAGACAAAAGAACGGCGAATGTTTTTTTTCCGCGAGGTTTTTATCCAACCGGCTTTTTCTCCGCAAATAAAATTCTTGTCGCACTTACTGCTCTGGCAGATCCAGTGGAGATAGTCGAGGTTACAGCCGACGTCATTCCACAGCCAGCCGCGACCTCCGTCCAACACGACGCAGTTTTGCTCGCCGTTGTAGTTGTTCGGCTGGTCCTTGCCCCATGATGGCTTTTGCACGATTTCGCCTGTAACATAATTTTTTGCTTTAAATATTTACGCGACACTCACTCTTTGATCTAGTATTATTTTCGTGTTACGATATATTTTGTTAACAAACTTTGTTTATATAATTCTTGTATTCTGTAATTAATTTAAACATTGACGCAAAGAGAGATGAGTGTGTTTTATAGCAACATGTGCTTTTACTATACGTAATTAGTATTATCGATAGATCTTGTTATGCTTTGCTGCACTAATAATGTGTGTGTGTGTGTGTGAATGTATGTGTGAGTGACTCTTCATAGGTAGAAATATAATTAATAATTGATATGGACATCGTGTTCGAAGATGTAACTTCCTGCCGATTTCGACACAGCGATAACTTTCACGTTCTATTTATCAGACGATAGTTCGATTGCAGTACGTGTGTACATATATATATAGTGATCCTACTTGCGATCACAATTTGTTTTCTGATGATTGCACGATACCCGATTGGCTCATCGTCGCAAAACGAACCCCGTTTTTTAGTTCTTTCAAAGAAATTCCAAGCACGAATTTGCAAAATCGCCCTTCCGAAATAACACGCGATGTCGCGTAATCGTTCCGTAATTGTTCGATAATTGCCGGACAACGAATCTCGACAATCAAATCTCACCCCGAATTACCCAACGCCGCTCTTTCGGCCCGATTCCCACGGTGAGGCGATCTCATTGACGATGGGAATAATTTGCTCGACTCGTGAAAATTAATTTTACTATCTAGCTTACCGTCTACCCATCGCCACGTCCGAGCGGTGATTTGCGGTTCCTTTTGCGCTCCGATCCAGACCAATTGAGTCTTCAGTTTGTCTTTTCGCCTTTCCAAATTGTTCAGGATAAATACAGACGAAATGCCCTGCAGCATGAATGTGATTTCATTTAGCAGTAGAATATTATGTTCTACTTTTAGTTTTTTTTTTTTAATATATATAAAAAATTATAAAAAAAATAAGAAGAAAGATTTTTGTAACAACCTTGAAACCATGAACAAGATCGCCGCCGCGCGTCTTGCAATAATTTCTCGCCACTTGAAAGGAACCGCCTTTCTTCACTACGAATTCGTAACACGTGGAATTGAAAGCGGTCAGGTCGGCGTCGGCGGGCGTGCCGGCATAGGCGCATCTGTCCACTGAGAATTCTGCAAACATTTGTAAATGTTTACGTGTTATTAATCGTTCTCTGTATAATTATATAGAAAACAATTTTGTGGCGGAAACAAAGCGAATTTTAATACATTTGAATATATTGAGATTTTTCAACTTACCATCCGTAGCAAAAACTTCTACCTCGCAGAGACTGAGACTACCCTCGACACCAACAAGTTGTAGAAAAACGTACTGGCCCAACAGTGCTCTGGCACAGATGAAGGTCTTCGTGATACCTTCCTCTGCGAGTTTGATTTGTCACCGGTCTTAATTAATTCGTTTCAATTTTGCAAAAAAACATTCGGAGAGAGATATCGATTTTGCGCGACAAGTTTTAAATGTATATCGTGGAATTGATGAAAAGTAACAAATATGTCGGTTTTTTTTTTTTTTAATTGTTTTTCAGATGTGTCGTATAAAAGATACTTGATATAAAATACAAATTTTGTAAAACAATAGCAACGCGAGAATTGAAAATTTTAGTTCTGAATGTTTTCGCTAGAGCGGTTTGTAACTGTTTCGAAATACTCACCAATAGTACCAGGAAACCAGGCGCACAGAGGATTGCGTTGCAATTCAGCGCTGCTGTTGCCTACTCTTATCTCAATATCCTGAAGAGGCTGATGACCTGCCGAGTAATCGATAAGTCATTCCACCGTCTGAGAGAGTCGTATTTATATACTCGAGTCTTGAACGACGAACTCAAGTACGTCAAATCTTCAAAAATGTTTGCCAAAAATTATTTTCAACTTTTTTCACAAATTTAGAAAATCTTTTTAAGAAGAAGAAAGATATTTTCGTCACAGCAAAATGTGTAAAACTCAAATAACGTTATCGCAAATATATTTGCTTAGAATTAGTATTTGAACTAAAATGGGAATTTTTTTTACACATTTATGTCAAGCTAAGAATAATGTGAATATTGCGGGTCATGATTTCAAGATTGTTTCGCGCTTTAAATGTGAATTTAATGACACGGAAGTTACCGCAGCAGCCTCGCGTCGTCACTCGAACAACCTTGACGGAATATGGCTTGAGGAGGTCAACCCTCCACCAAGGACTTGGTTCGCTCTGTGTTTCCGTACATCTTTTCCCGTCGTGTTCCGTACTGAAATCACCGTCGTTACCGTGGTTCGCGTTTCCACCTCTCACGGTGGTGGATTGATTTGCCGGTTTGCGAAAACCCACATTCGTGCCTGTTGAAAAATTTATTCTGTTACTGGTTTTTCTCGTTTCATAAAATAATATCTTCTGTGTATGAAAAATATTCAACACACACGCACACGCACGCACGTGCTCACACCACACATTATTTTGCTACTTTTGTTTTTTATTACTTCTCTTCAGCTATAGAATGTTCACGTACAAATGATAATTTCACGGGACGTTACGTGTTCAACGTTTATTAAATGCAATTTAAATGCCGATTACCAAAGGTGGTGGTTAAACAATGGAGCGTCTCGTCAATGGCGAGATAATGTGCGTTTGACAATACTGGCAATCATCGCCGACGATTAGTCGTCCGACCTCTTGTCACTACCGTTCATGAAGATACAAGCATTTTTTTTCCGGTATAATTTTTCTCCAAGAATTTCATGACAATTTGCGATCACGAGTCGTTGTTATTCCGCGGAAATGGCACGGATCGTTCGAGCCCACTGTTGTTAAACAACGACAATTATATTTTCTTGCGGTCGGACTTTTTACGTATAGCAGAGAAAGTTATGGAAGCCGAAACGGAATTTTTTTTCTTTTTTACTGTAATAATCGCGCAATAACGCGGCAATTTACAAAAATCGATCGTCAAGAATCGTACATTACTATGTACTTGTTAGATAACGGCGCGGTGAGATTCGCTTGGAATTTCACGCGTCGGACATGCGCTTTCCAAGAGGGTGTCCCAGAACTGTCGCCTAGTTCTTCAGTTGGAAATTTCACGAGTAATCACATAGTCCGAGCAATCCTGTTTGAGAATGAGACGACAAAGCTATGTGTGTTGTCACTAAACTTAAGTAACTTTCCAACAAATACGAAAGAGAAGAAACTATGGTGTTAAAAAATAAACTTCACAATAATTCTCCAAATCCTACAAGTTTTTTAATTACACACTGTATGTACGATTAGTACAATACAATATGTTCTCTATGTTCGCTCGTAGTAGTGAAAAAAAATTATTGTAGAGAGTTTCGGAATATTCCGTATAAGACGAGGAAAAGTAATACTGATTGGCATTTTAAATTCAGACGGTTTGATTGTCCTCCGCAAACGAAAATACCGCTTCTCGTTCGACGACCTCTCTCTCTCGCGTTCCCGTCTTCTCTCAAGTCGTATCACGAAAACGAACTTGCGGGTTTCGCCCGACGGAGAAAGTCGATTACCAATTATCGTCGTCGAAGACCGATGGAAAACGAATGGAACCGATGTAAACGCTAGCCGAATTACAAAGATGCTTGCAATTCAATGTGTTATAATCACGATGCCACGTGAAACGAAAAAGATTTCCAAATAGAGGGGTAACGCAAGTAACAATGAAATTGCAGTGCAACATGCAAACATGGACATTAACGTTGCATACGAAATATTGTCTGGCGACTTGAAAAAAAATAGAAGCGTACTGCGCGCGAGAGACAGCGAAATTTACTTACCGCAGAACGGCAGGTCGCCCTGCCATTTTCCTCGGGCGTTGCATGTCAAGCTGCCAGTTCTGAAAGAAAGTAACAGTCATCCTTGAGTGAGTGCCGAATGCGTATATTATCGAAAACAGTAGTTGTGCGGATGTCACTCTTGCGATGTTGCGCAACAAATATGGGTACAAGTACCAGTTCCGTTATACATACAACAAACGTTATGCCACCAGAAATGCTCTTGCCGAGCCGTTGGAGCAAAAAATGCCGTCTATTGCTTTTCCGCGCAATGTAATTAAAGAGACGCTTGCGTTCTTCTCGGTTCTCGAGAAAAGATGATCGGGGAGAGAGAGAGAGAGGTTTAATTAAACGAAATTTACTGTGCAGTTTTATGCAATAATTGCAATAATTACGAAAGAGTTCTAGATTTCAATGGATTTCTAAACAATTGTTACGCGTGTATTTCTCTTCAGAAAATTTCTAGCAGAGCTTATGCTTGGTTACACTCTCTTGCATGTAATTATATTTGATATTTTTTGACACAATCATTTTGCACGGCACGCATTCACGTTACGCGTCATCACCGTGCGATGACGATTAAAACTTAAAAAAAAAAAAAAAAAAAAACGTGTCATTAGATTAATTTAACCTTTTAATAAATACGAAATCTAAGTTAAATGACGTCATTTAATTCAATTTTTTCTCTATTGCGTTTTGAAGAAGAGGGAAACACCAACTCATCATTGTTTTTTTTTTTCTCGCAAGTTGTTATTATTTTAAAAACCGAGGTACGCACACAGTGCCGAGCGAGATCTCGTATTCTTCTCTTTTCTCTCTGCTGTTGCTCACTCCGCTCTTTGAAAACGGAGAAAGTTAACGGTGAACCGCATTATCGACAATTATCATTCTTGACCAGGAACGTATGTAACATTTCGTTTGGAACGCGTCGCTACACACAGGGAAAGAAAAAAAAAACGACCGATCGCGCATAACACAATCGTTAATTTCCGGTCGCGTGCTCTTTCGTGCCACGATGACAGGAAATTAATATTTCCTCGCGCGATATTTTTTTGCAACAAAATAGCTTGTTTCTTCGTTCTGTTAGCGGCGGTTGCGTTTTGCACAATCTTGCGTGACAATACAAGCTTTATAGTTCTATTGACGCCTAAAGATTTCTTTCTCTTCTGTTACGCTATTCAAAGGATTGTTTTAAGCGATTTTGCGAGAGAAACGCGAAAGTTAGTGTGGTTTTATGTATTTTTTTTTTTTAACTTTATTTACCCTGACTTCACGCGATTGAGTTCGCTGAAGTGTTTTGCGTCATTGAGCGACACTAAAAAACGAAGTTAATTAACATGTACAGTTTGTAACGGTACCATCGGAAAGTACGCGACATGCTCGAGGTCTTATGAAGCACATTCCGAACTATTTGAGAAATAGAAGACGGTAAGTTCGAAACTTCTCTGTCAAACTTATATATCAAGCAGATGGGAAATTGGTTGATGTATTTTTATTTTTTCGAATATATATATATATATACATTATCACTTCTGATGAGCTCTATCTTATCACTGTTCTTCTTCGTAATTTATTCGCTTCAACTTGAAGAGAACGGTATTGCATTTTGATCGAGATTCTTTCCGGGAAAGCAATATTCTCCGCGGTGGAAAGCAATCTCTCTCTCTCTCTCTCTCTTTCTCTCTCTCTCTCTCTCTTTTCGCGCGCGCGATGGGCGTAGCCACGTAAAATCGCATTATTATCATGAATAATCCACGCGGAGCCGTCAGTAATACACATATTATAGTAGCAGAAATAGAATTGACGCTATTATGGTCGTTATCAACTCTCTAATAAATCTACATTTTGTATCACAAAATTATTTAAAATTTTCAATATTACACCTCGTAAAAAAAAGTAATCCAAAAAATAATAGTAAATTTACATAAAAAATTTTTATTATCGCATGCAAAAACCTACCCGAAGAGTTCGTAGCCAGCATCGCAGGTGTACTTTGCCACGGTACCGACCGTCAAGGATTCGTCGGACAGCGATACCTTGGCGTTCATCGGTACTGCCGGATGGCCGCAATTTAGTCCTGTAATCAGCAAAATTACGGATGCTTAGTTGTTGTTTGAAACCAAGCCGACGGCATTTCGTCGAGAAAAAAAATATCGAATTGTAATCGCGTAACCGTAACCATTCATTATGTTTGTAATTTACGTGAAGTTATTTCGCGCAAATTCTCAGCCTTGTAAATGCTATATTAGATTCTCATTGAGCCGAACGATTATCTTTGTAGAAGTGTTAAAGCTGTTTTATATGCGTAAATAGGTAATCCTGATCCATCGACTCATCGACAACGCCTCGCGCACCGTTTGCGGATTCATAATCTCTTACTTATAGCTTCTGTCTGTTGCGATCTGCTTTCCGCGTTTGTCCGTGACGTCCGATCGGCCGAATTTTCAGGGCATGACGCGGATCCAGTCGATTCAATGCGAGCGAGATTATCCAGTCGGTCATGCTCGACGAGGTATACGGCAGTCGCACTCACGACAGCAATTTAAAACAGTCGCAAGAACCGTTAGAATGATCTCGAAAGAAGTCTCCACAAAGAAAATGCGTCCAGGATTGCATTTGCCATTATTTAAATTACTGACTTGACAAAGAGGAGCTTCAAATCCAAACACAGTGCTAGTAACTTAATAATAGTAATAACAAAAAAAAAAAAATCCCGTAATAATGTTTACAACACAATTTATTTCGAAGCAAAAAATTGATTTTTATTAATATTGCTCGACACTGAATTCTCTTCTCAAGTTATCTTAAGTATCTATTCATTAGCAGGTTCAAAAGCCTGTGACTTCTCTTTAGGGCGTTACTTGGCGAGCGAATCGTTTGTAAGAAGCCTTGGACGGGATCCCACGCGAATTCCATTATCCAACTTCCACGACTCGCGTTAGACTCGGATTAATTCGCACGTCAGAAAAGCGCGATTGTTTGATTATTCGGTGCTTCGCGTTCTTTCTTATTATTATTTGCAAATGCGGCGTTTAACTGAAATTCAATTCGGAGAAAGCGCGGGAGTTTTTGGACACACATATATTGTATATACATTTAGTACGATCAACTACAAGTGACACGCACGAAACATTTCTCGCCCGGCTGCGATGATGCGTGTTCTCGCATAAGGCGAACTTTTTCTCCGCGGGGAAAGTTTATCGATGGAAACGTGCCAAAGGCTCGCAATTTATGTCTCGGATTGCACGAAGCTAGCCATATTGCAACGTGAAATTCATCTTCTCTTTCCTTGTTTTCATGAGAAAAATCTTTCTTAGCCGTTTATTATGCGCGTTTTTTCGCGCATTTTTTCTGAGCGCCGCGCGCGCTTACAAACGCGAAAGCACACCTTTCTCGTTATCTCAAACTCGTGTTATTTTCTCCGGTCGTCGTAGTTTCAAACATTCTCACGCGTGTCTATTCGATTTCCTTTAATCCTTATTGCGGTGTAGTGATTATACACGGTAAAACTTTTCAAATTGTGTGTCTCTCTAGACCTCAAACGTGTCTCGTTCCGGTTTTTGAAACATAATCTTGACATAATGCATCACGTTTCGCTTTGTTCGCCAGACATGGCTATTATGTCCGCAGCGTGATGTCGAAATTTTTACATCGATAAATATTTTAATTAATCGAAAGTTTTTGTGTACAAAATATAGAAAGTTAAAAGTTGTCTTATATATATGTATATATAACACGTGCGTATAAAAGCACGGTAATGTTTTTTCTGCTATGAATTGGTTTTCGCTTGTCAGAGAACGCTTTATCATCACGGTTGAAATACACGTTAATTTCTTGTCTATTATTCGTGAACGTAAGCAATTCTCGAAGAAGAAGCGATATATCGTCACTCCCTACGTATAATCCCGTAACTCCAAAACGCAAATTTTTTTTAGAGGAGAGCAGTTTAAAAGTTTGAAGCTTCATATAGTTTCCCTAGTTAAGGGATCTTTCGGTTTTAAATTTTTACCATACTTATGAATATTTTTTTTTAATACTTGGTGACCACAAAGAACATGACTTTCTGAGTGTCACTATGCAATAAACTGAAAATCCCATATGTGACACTTATGTAATTATACGTAGGGAGTGACGATATAATCTCGTCGATGCGCGTGCGAGATCGCACGAATCGCGGAGTAAATTTTTCGATGCGTTTTTCAGGGACGATCGCGGTGAATTTACAAGATAGGTTAACGTCCATTTATAATAAAAAAAAATTAGTGTTGTCTTAAATCAATAATTTTTGCGTACTAATTAAATCAGAAGAAAAGCCACTCTCTCGCATGATCATTAACTCTGAGGTTAAGAGGATTTTTTCTGCGGCGAGCGTGAGTATGTATGTCCAGGAGACGTTTCGTTAATTTTAACTCCGTGCGAGAAGCTGACATCTTCGGAGTGAAAGCCTTCTTCGGTTATTATGTCCTGATCCGAGAGACGCGCGCTCTCGAGAGAGAACCGCATTTCTCACGAAACGGAACATAATTCTGCGTGCGCGTGCGTGTGAACGCGATTTAATTAGCAAATTCCGCGTTCACGACAAATGCTAATTCCTCAGCACAACATGATACATTTTTTTAACCATTTTTAAATATATTTCGCAATTGCAGATGCTAATTTCGTTTATTTTATCCAACTCTTGAAATATTTTGAATAAATTATTGATTTATTATAGTATTTTATATATTATAGTATTATTTATTATAGTATTTTATTATATATTATAGTATTATATTTATTATAGTATTTTGAGGGAATTTTTTAAATGAAGATTTTAAACATACACGACGAAAAATATATCATGTCACGCGACTTCGTTAGATGTAAATGAATTTTGATGTGTGATCAGATTGCTATATATCCGCCAATTGTTCTATGTCGGTTTTTTTTTCTTTCTGACTCTCAGATGATGAATTATTTTCACTCGCTCGGTGACTCGACGCTTGCTCTACTTCGGGCAATTCTGACAATGGAATTTCTTTCTTTTCTCTAGTTTTTTTCTCTTGGATTTTAATTACTTTCTCTATTATATCGCGTTGCGATCGACCGTGTTCGGATAGCGATGCACGCAAAACTGCGGTTTTTCTCATACCATTAACACTCGTATGAATTTCAACTGACTATATACATTGCAACTGTCCGAGTAAACTTGCTAATTATCTTTCTCATCTTATCTTCTTCGACGTTTCACAATATTACCATATGTATTAGCTTGAATAGTTTTTCAATTAACGCGTTGTAAAGCAGACTATTTAAAAAAACAATCTCGCATCTTCTCACATAGCATATTATCGCTAATGAATAAATGAATTAACATTGACATTGATCGAAACTTGATGAGTGAAATATTTATTTCGAAAGTAACGGAATAGTTAGAATATATTAATTCTGATTGTATTTAAAAAAAAATTAATGATTATCTATAATGTGCGCTTAAACGCGCGTAGTGTTCTCAATAATTATTTTAAAGAAAGCGTTTAGCGTTAAATCGATTCATCGTACGAATAATTGCCGCTTGAGTATCTATCAGCGATAATTAGGAACCAGTTATGAGAGAGAAATCTTCAACGATGTAAGAAGCAAGAAAAACCTCAGTGAAAAACCGGTTGACGATTTCTACGTAATACTGATGTGCACTAGCGACGTGAGTGAATCCTCGATTCGGGTCTGGGTCACTCGGTTACAAAACCTCCAAGCCGAAATAACGGTACTCAGATGCGTTACTTCGAATCAAGATTAACCGCTGTCGGAGCGTGTGTATCACGGTGTACAGCTTCTCTCTTCCTGGTAATATTATTGACGACATATCGATATATATGTATATATCGGTTCTATTCATTCTTTGAATTTATTTTCTCTCAAACATTGATAATTTTTTTTTATTGAAAATTTCACAACAACATTGATTAATTTGGTATATTTTTGTTTACTTTGTTTTTTAAATTGCCAATGTGATTCCGTATTACGAAATACAATCCATTTTTGATTACGAGTAACAATCGTTAGCAATTCGACTCACATGCCTATCGGCTGGTTTATTCTTAACATTGACTTCGTGTTACCTAAAATTCCGTTACGTATTCCTGATTTGTAACGTCGCGTTACGCTTACGTTTGTGCACGAAGGAATTTGAACTTTGAAAATCGTGAATTTCAGACAGCAATTCACGTTTTGAGAATTAAATTACGGACACGAATATTTCCTTGAAGAACTATTCATTAGAAAATCGCAATTTTATGATATAAAAAGTAATTGGTTTCGTTCTAAGATCAAAATTTATAGAAGAAAGATATCAGAAAAAAAGAAATGCAAATCAAAATTCTTTCCTATAGTTTCGTTTCTCAAAATTTAATAAAAGTAAAAACATGTTCTTGGTAAAAAAGTATTATTTTTTAACAAAAAGTAAACTATAAAAAAGTGATAACAAAACATTCTTCCATGTTGAAAAAAATATACAAAAAAATAATTAAAGAATATTTTTTTGTATATTTAAATCCAATGTGTATGTGTGTAAAATACGGGAAATTTAAAAACAGCTAATGTATAATAAATAATAATAAATAAAAGTCAAATATAATATATTTTAAACGCCATAATAAAAAAGAAAACTTGATCAGAATATTGTCACGTGCACTATGTCAGAGATTGATTCGGTGAAGTAAGCAAAGGATCGACTTGTGGGACGACAAGCTTTTGTAATATCTACGTTGTGCATGATATTCGCCAGCTGTTGAGTAAGAGCGTGGATATAACGATTGACCTGCGGATAATCTGTAACGTTGCAAGTATGTACATGCAAGTATCGTAGAACCGATTGTTGAAGAAGTTAGAAAGTAGGCGTGTCCGTGATCTATCGCAAGAAGAAGGAGAGGTCGATTCACCGGGTGTGTATACCGGAAGGAGACTGTTAAAAGCCGCATATTACGAACTTTTCCCGCGTCAAGTAGATTACCTAACGAACACTCAATATTTCACCCACGATCCTCGTGCGAGTCACGTCTAAGGTGTCGGACAGGTTTCCCCGACGAGTAATTTATT